GAAGTGGGACAACATGAGGTTGAAAATTGGGACATGAATCTGAAATAATGCACAAACAAACAATAATTATCAATTTAACATAGGAGTGTGAAGCCATTTCCTTTTAGAAAACAACATTACAACATACCTTACTGCAGTAAAGTAGCTCATTTATACAGTATCGCTCAAGTATCTTATATGAACGCATCTTTTCCATAAATTGCTCCTCGTTGTTGCGATGATACGCACGATCCTAGAAAAATAAAACACAGTTACCCACACAAGCTACATGTAACAAACAAATAGATTAATTTCATGACAAGAATAGACAAAGCAGACAACTGTACCGAAACTGAAGGTGGAAAGAACCAAGACAAGCCACCACTGCGACCACAACTTCGTTCTTCTAGTGTCTTCCACATACACGCCATTTCTATAATCTAATGCATCATCATCACATATACCAAAGTCAGCAATACACGTTTAATCTACTAAATTACACACATAAAGGAACTCACCCTTGTTGAAATTCTGGTCCTGGGCAAAAACTCGACCAAATCTTCACGTAACAACTCAAGAGCCCCGCCAGCAAGACGAACCAATATGTCACTGTTATACAAGACCAAGTTCAAACACCACAACATTAGAATAAGGCAAATACCAAAAACATCCTACAGATATGATCCAATCTTACTTGTAATGATTTCGGGAGGTACCTTCCGGGAAGCGAACTACTAAAAGCAAATTGAATCATCTTTACTGCCTCCAGAGTCAATGGTGTCTGAACAACAAAGGGAGGAGCAAGGTACAAAGGTTGTGCTTTCTTAGCTCTGGGATTTGCACGTTCGAATGGAGAGACCACATACAAACTAGGCTTCAATTTAGATACACTACGTAGTCCACCTCCCTTTCGCCCCTTTATTGTTCAAAAACATAAAAACAAAACAAGTTCATTAGTAACCACACCATAAGTACAAATAATTAGAAAACTTAATAAAGTGTAATACCTTCACAGTCTTGGCACAACCATCATTAGCAGCAACACTTTCATCACTCAACAATATGAATTTCTCAACTTTAGACGCTTTCGCCTGCTTGCAAGGAGACTTTTTCACAATTTTGACAGAAGGAGATTCAGAACCGCTGTCATCTCCAATTTCCCCCTCAGCTTCTCCCCAATTCTTAACACCTAAACCTTGAGTCTTGACACATTCGGAGGTAGGAGAAATGGGTTCACTTGGTTTTTCAACCTCAGCCTTCTGATTGCCCTTTTCCCCTCTGATAAGCTGCTCCGTTGACAACAAAACAGCTGCAGAAGCTTTCACATTATCAGCCTCATCCTTCTGATCGTTCTTTTTCAACTCAGTAGGCTGCTCCCTTGACAACGGATCACCTATAGTTGCTTTCACTGCCTCTATAATGGACTTCACTTGAGTACCAATTTCGTCTCTAAAAGCCCGAAATTCGTTCTCCATATTCACAACCCGACTCATTAGCTCATTATCTCTGGAAGCACCATCACCCATTGCAACTCTAAATTCTTGCCTAAAGTTGTCAATTCTACCCTCCATGGTACTAAACCGAGCGTCAATACGCTCACAGAGAAGCAGCTCATCACCGTCGGGTTTTTGCCGTTTCCCATCTCTTTTTTCCCGTTTCCTTGCAGGTGATTTCAAACCTGCATCCTCAACTGATCTTTTACCCGAACTGCTGGAAACCTATAAATTAATTAAAAAGGGAACCAAATGTACCATTAGCATGCTCCAACTCGTCAAAAGAATCAAATATACTATCAGTCTTACCACTTTTGTTAACAATAACTCCACGTCTCCGCTCCCCCAACTCATCAAATCCAAACTCCCATCAATGGTTTCGAAAATACCATTTGCATGCTCCAAGAATATTAACTACAAAAAAAATACTATAATCAACATGATGATTAATCATTACAAATATGTAGAAAGTAGGGATTAGCAATTATTTACCTCCAAGAACAGCAAGCAACCCGGTATATACTTTCTCCCCTCAGCATTATGGTCGCAGATGCATTTGACCAATTCATTGAAGCAAAATGATGCCCAATTCTTCTTCGGAATATCGGCAACATCGAGGACAGCGTATACCGAAGATAACGAAAAGTCATCTCTTCTAGTTGGTACTAATAACACCCCCATTACGTACAAAATAAACGTTTGAAGAAATAGATCGCCGCTATCTTTCATCTTCGACAAAGCCTTCCGCATTAAGCTTGTGGAAATCGCCTGTCGGGCACAATCAGCTGTCGAATACACTCTAAATGGATTCAATTCCTCGGATCTTCGTCCCACTTCTTCACCATTCAAGATGATATCAGTACCTCCCTCAGGCACGCCCATAATTCGCTCGAAATCTTTGGCCGAAATATGGACTTTCAACCCATAAGCCTGAATTGAGCTTTCTTCCAGATTAAAGCTCTTCAAAAGGATCTCCAACAACTCACGTTGGAGCATTCTTCCTTTGACTTCAAGCATACGACCAAAGCCACATCTCTTAATGGCCTCTGATTGACAAGCCTCTAAATTTGAGACTACGGAGAATACTTTCCTAGGAGAACAGCGGGTGCTAAAAATTTCATGACTCTTCGTCTTCATTATAGAACAATTTTAGCAAACTGCAAAATTAAAACAACAAAAAAATTATAAGCATGCCTTGAAACACGAATTATAAGCATGCCGAAGAGTACTAACAAAATACACAAAGCCAGAGTCGTCCACCACTGATCTAAAGAAGCAACTTTCAGTTTTCACACTTAAACACATTCGAGAAAACGTGGTTATGACAAAGTTTCATTCGAGAAAAGGATCATTTAATCATTCGGTAAACACATTCTCCAGGTAATGAGTTCAATCCTGGTTTTCAATATATGGATTTTATCAATATTGAACAAATGCAAGACTATACCAGAGCTCACAAGCACACTTGCCTCGATATCAAGTTCTAACTACCAGAAGAACTGAAAACCCCCTACATCAACACCTGAGTACACTAATTAACCATGAAATCCGCCATTGGCATATATAAATTTCACCCAAAACACCCAGCTTCCATTAAATTTCACCCAAAATGCAAATTCTCACGGCCGTGACATGACCCGTGAGAAGCAAAGAGTAGTTTTCATATCCCAGACAATCTCACGGCTTTGGCTTCAAAAATCACGGCCGTTAAAATAAGCCGTGAAACTAAAAACACCCTGATTTTTCAGTACTTCAAAGCTACTAGAGGAGTCACTTATCAGTACATCAAAGCTACTATTCTAACCTCCCAAAGCTCGATCCACCTATGAAATGATGCATCTGCATTTTTCAGCATTTGAAATACCACACCAGTAGCTACCAATCCTAGTCCCATTTTCGCTCAAATGGATGTTTCGAGTGATATGGCAAACGTAGCTGTTGCAGTAGCCTTGTCTAATTCGAATGCAGTAAATAGGAAACCAAACAGCTTCTTGCATGCTTAAACAAAAGGTGATCAAGTACATACTTTTGCTTTATAGAAGAGAGGACAGCAAGATCCAGAATATTCAGACACAAGATCATCGTACAGAGAGAAGAAAGGGCATCATCTCTTGACTATTTCAGGTCTCCTACATTTATGCTAATCGGTCAATCTTTATCGATGTACTTCATAATGATTTGGAGATCAGCAAGCAAGCAGATCAGTTGACAAAATATATCCCACACAACTAACCATCGCAAGATATTCGAATTAGCAACCCCCTCCAAAAAATTTAACAATATGAGAAGCAACACAAGGACAAACTTTGAGCAATAGCTTAATGACTAGAGACCTCACAGAATTGAGAATGCTTCATTTCTCTTGCGTTTCCTCCTCAAGTCACCCTGATTTCATGAACTAATTCTTGACTAACACACTCAATTGCACCTTTCATGCAGCCAAGCAAGACACTTAAATTAACAGTCCAAAATGTAATCAACAAGAAACGGTAACGACAATACAATACCAACAAGACCAAATCAACTCTTCCAAAATTTTCTCTGCAGACTCAGTTTGAAGGCAAACAACAATCCAACTTGTTTCAAGCCAAACTGAAAAGAATCAAACTTTGAGTATGAACTTTCCTATTCGATTTGCCTCCATAAAACACAAATCAAGTCTCTCCAATCAAAAAGTTAAAGCTGGCATGCATAAAGGAAGGAACAAAATCGCTAGCTAGGTCAGATTTGACACTAAATCAGTCAATATATAGCTAATTATCAAGCTAAACACAAAGAAGATAGTACAAGGACATCAACCTGGTCAAAGGACATGACCAATTAAACTCATAAACCTAAAACGAGCATGGAATTTCAATCCCCCTACCGAAATGTGTAAATCTAGAACATCCCAACAACGAATGCAACAAATTCGATCGATACAAATGCCCCCTAGAAGAATGAAGAACAACAGACTTCCTCCACCACCATTACCACCAAAGCTTCCCCACAAAAAGGAGAATCATTAACCACAAAAACAATGAATGCTGTGAATTCGTCCGATTCGAATCCTCCAACGAAGAAGATGGAAGAACTACAACAACAACATCCATCCAAAACTTCCTCACCAAAGGAAGCATCATCAACAACCACAACCGCAACCACAACAACAACAACCACAACTGCTGTGAATTCTTCAGACTCGAATTCTTCTACCCTAACAACAGAAGAACCCAATGCTCCTCCTCAACAGAAGAAGATTGAGGAACAACAACAACAACAACAGCCTACTAAGGATGTTGCTGAAACGGAGACAAATCAAGCACAACCTCAACAGCAAAAACAAGGCGAAGAGAAGGTAAATGCTGCAAATTCTCCTTCAAAACAAGTGAAGGAACAACAGGAACCGCCATTGCAGCTAATTATCAAGCTAAACACAAAGAAGATAGTACTAACCGAAAAAAGTTGCGGTGGAGGAGGTAGGTCAGCGGTCTTCGTTTGCTATCGATGGGAAGAGGGGGTTCTGTGCAGGGTCTTCGTTTGCTATCGATGGGAAGAGGGTCTTCGTTTGCAATCGACGAAGAGATGCTCGCTCTCGTCGTCCCTTGCTCGCCGCCTTCACTGTCGTCGTCGGAATCCGGCTCGCCGCCTTCACTGTCGTCGTCGGAATCCGGCTCGCCGCCTTCACTGTCGTCGTCGGAATCCGGAATCCGAATCGCTGCAATCGACAAGCTTCTTCTACTCGTCGTCACCCACTGCTCGCCATCTTCACTCGTCGTCACCCACTGCTCGCCGTCTTCACTGCCGCCGTCTTCACTGCTCGCTAGCTGCGTGGAGAGGATCGAAGGAAGGAAGAGGATCGAAGGAAGAAGGGTTTCGGCGGTGAGAAGAATGGTTTCGAAGGAAGATAGTGTTTGTCTTAATTGGTTTCAGACAACCGGTTGTACCGGTTATCACACACAAATAAAATAATAATTTAATAATTTAAATAAAATCTAATGGTTGATATAGTTTGAACATGATCTAATGGCTGTAAATGTTTTATAGTACCAATACTATAAAGCACACTAAAATGCCTCCAAAAGTATATGTCTACTCTACATGCATGTATAATGGAATTGAATAGCAAGAAAATTAGATTCCCCCGTCATTTATAATATTTTAATTTAGATTTTATGGGTACTCTCGTTTAGTACATTTTGTTTGAGTTTTTTTTTATCCTTGTCCAATTGTGTCGAATTAGGGATTGTAGGTATTTTTTTCTTTATTCATTATCAAAACTGAAATAAACAAAAAAATGCAGGGATGGACTAGGGTTCTTGTGAAGAGCAAAGTGAAGAAAGGAAAATGAGAATTTGATTGAACTAAAGAAACATAGAATGTTGTTTCTTCTCAATCTGGTTTCACTTTTAGTTTGGGCTCCAGACAAACAAAGCTCACTAATTGAAGAAAGCAAAAGTTAAATGGAAATGGGCTTATGAAAAGCAGGCCCAGACAAATAAACTAAGAGGACCAGAGCCTGTCTTCTTCCTTGATCAGCAACCTTAGAAACAGTCTCTGGTAAGCTATGAAAACAGAGCAACACAGAACAAATGCAAATGCAGAAAGGAAGAGACACAGTCGAATTTTAACGAGGTTCCCAACTACTGGTCATTCCTCGTCCTAGACTCAGTACCCACTGAGTTCTAGGAGACTCTTTTTATTGATTTTCCTATCAAGCAAAATTGAAATAAAACGAATACTGACTCAAGACAAACAGAAAGATTAACAGGTAATGAAAACTCCCCGGATCACAACCCGATCCCTTCTACCACCACAGCATAGAACCTCTACCCCAATACTGTCCACCCTTCTGTAAATCAAAGCTCAGACCTATACCACTAGCTTGATTCGTACAAAAGCGAATGATACAAAAGACTTCCTCTGAATATATAGAGCACCGAAGCTAGCCGTTGGAGAGAAGCTCTTGATTTGCTTGATTGATGCACTACCCCTTTTTGAAGCATCCTGCAACGGTCTGAGAATCGGCAAATCAGACTTGCCATATTTCAACAATCTCTCCCTAAGTCTGATATTGACGATTGCTTTAGAACGTGCAAAGCAGCCAGAATATCTGCCAACAAGACAAAGCACATCCAAAGAACATGGGATAGAAGGAATCAACCAGAATAACCAAAACACAATCCATCAAACAAAGCTCTCCCTGAGAGCAAACAATCCAACAGAACCAATCCAAATCTCTCCCTGAGATCAAAAATCTGAGCAAGAAACAGAAAAGAACTCTCTCAACTCACGATCAAAAACTAATCATCTATCTCTTCTCCAAACAAGAGATCTTCGAGAGCAGCTGCATCAATAGAGTGAGAGAGATGACTTGGGGGCGCCTCGGAATCTTATCCATAAAGCTCTAAGATGGCAGCAGTAAAAGGTTCAAGAGGAGCAAGAGCAGGAGCACCACTAGGAGCATCACCAGCATCAGACTCGTCAGAGTCAGAATTTGAATCGCTAATCCAGATCAGGTTCACCTCTCCCTCAATTGCAATATCCAGGTCATCAAGAATCATGTCCACGATTAACCAGATGGTTGGGGACTCAAAGCGAAAAGGATTGAGGTTAATAGGGAGGGCCACCAACAACCAAGAGATCATGGTGTCAAAAGGAAGAAGGGCATGATGATTATGATCAATGAAACGAAGAATAGCCCCAAAGAACATATGAGAATAATCAAGAGGTACCTCCGTAACAGCATGAGCCATAATCCAAAGGTCCAGCGGGGTGACTCGATCAAGCATAGTAGAGCAAGGCACAAACAACCAAGTGATGCAGTAATGAAAGACCCACATGGAAGGGAGAAGAATAGTCACTGGAAGAGTAGAATCCTCATCAGGGTGATGACCCGTCAACTGAACAGCTTCTTCAGCCATGTTAAAGTTCAAGAGCGTAAGCTCGGACTCGTGGGCGAGATTTTCACCAATCGCAGGGAAGCCAAGGAGGCAACCAATATCATCAGCAGGAAGAGTTATCAGATGGCCAAAGACCAGGGTAGTAAGAGTGCGCGATTCCAGACCAAAATACTATAAGTTGGAGAAGAAGAGTCGAATAGCCTTAGGACACATCAAAGTTGGATGATTTTCAAGGAGAAAGTCCCAGCCAAGGTTGCGCACCCAATGGCGAACTTCAAGGCCATGAGCATCAAGACCAGGAAAAGGAACAAGGAGGGTAGGAGAGATAGGGCGATTAGCAAACGATTGAGAATGACGATGGAAGTTTAGAGGGATAGGATCATGGAAGAGGGTTCCAGAGAAGGTAATAGCAAAAGAGTAGGACATGATGGGAAGACTCACACAGCACTCAATAAGACACTCACAACGAATACAAGGACACGAACAGAGACACAGAAATAAATAGACCTGCATCAACCATAAACAAGGCAAGAGCAGATACTGCAATCGACACTAAACAGGAATAAGAACACCAAGACCAAAAAAATCAAAAACGGGAAACTGAATCAACAAGAAAAAGGCAGGAAGGATACCATTAAGGTATCAAAAAATTGGGAATGGACTGAGCATATCGCAATCCAATTTCATGGCAAAGGAAAGTGAATCGGTCAGTTGACAAAGGTTTGGTAAATAGATCTGCAAGTTGATACTCAGTGCTAATATGGTGAAGAAGAATACACCCTGTTAGCAGCAATTCACGTATAAAATGGTATTTTATGTCTATGTGTTTAGTACGTGAGTGCTGGACAGGGTTTTTAGGAGGAATTTTACAATGCTATATATTATTGGTGCTATAGGTTTTTGTCTTTATGGGACAGTTTGAAATTGTACCTTTACGTTATGGTACAACTTCAAATTGTACCTATACTTTTTGTACAAATTCTTTTATGATACAACTTGAACTTGTACCTTTATGTGACGGTACAACTTCAAGTTGTAAAGTAGTACCATAACATAATGATACAAATTCCATTATGGTACAACCTAAACTTATACATTTTATGTTATGGTACAACTTCAAGTTGTACATTAAAGCACCAATACTATATAGCATAGTAGAATTGCTCGGTTTTTAGACATACAAATATCACTTTTGTTGTCACAAAATAGAGGAATAGCTGAAATGTGCAAACCATAGTCAGATAGCTGGTTTCTGAGCCATAAGAGCTTAGTACATGTGCTGCTAGCAGCAATGTATTCTGTGAAACGACCCGCTCTTTTTTGAAAACCAAACCATAACTCAAACCGAAAACCAGTTCCTTAGGAGCAACTCAAACCACGTTTTAAAATAAACAAACCGGCAATGTTTAAGAATTTCAAACCAAAAGCCCGAACATTTGGACAAATGAAAATCCAAATACTTAAAAGGAATGAACTCAGAACCTCCAGTTGATACTCCTAACCATGTAACAAAGAAATTAAACTATTCTAACTCTGACTCTTCACGAGCTCCTCGAATTTTTATCAATGTTGATGCAGCTACACGCCTCGCCCTGCCTCTTCTCGAAGTCCGCCTCTGCTAACCCTTCCTCGACCTGGTGAGTGAGAAGGGGTCAGTCTCGTTGTTACTTCCTAAGGTCTTTGGCCTAGGAAAACTCCTTACTAAACACATTATTAGAGGATTGCCTTCCTTAGACGAAAGTCGTTCTCGCTTTCATCCTTTATATTTTGTTATCAAACAGTCTATAAAAGATCTCTACTCCTATCTTATGCTTAGAATTTTCTTACTTATTTCTTAATCCATAGACACCAACACTAGGGACCACCATGTTACGTCTCGTAGTCCGGTGTCCCTACCCTAGTATGCCAACCGCGTTACGTCTCGCCGTCCGGTTGCATACCAGACTCGGCAATGGCATTGCATTACGTCTCGCCGTCCAGTCCATGCCCAGTCAACTACTGCGTTACTTCTCGTCGTCCAGTAGTGACCGAACCGCCCGGGGGTTCATCTTACCATTAATCAACTATTACAATCTCAAATCCATACATTCATACATAGCACTAGGAGTTGAAATCGGCAGGGTATCGGTATCCCAATACCAAATACCGAAATCACGAATATCGAATTATACTCTAGAATCAATCACAATCTCAATCCCTGAATAATTTCGGTATCCCAATCCCAATCTCTAAATATTTTGGTATCCTAATCGGTACTTCGGTATCCCAATCGGTATTAACGAATACGAAATCAATTACCTTTACAATTAATAGTTAAATATATTAATTAGATTTGATTGTTTAATATAGGACAAAGAGGCTAAATAAAGAGTTTTGAGTTTGGCTATAGCTATGATATGGATAAGGAGAATGGAGTAGAGGTGACATCTCAAGTTTTTGTTATTAGTAATCTTTAATTTGACGAATTGGAGGCTGAGAGAAGACTAATACTAGTATTTGTTTTTTGATGTTATGAAAATAACAATAGATTGGTGGTTTAGGGTAGTGTAGTAATGAATGAGGGAGTCTAGTTGAGAATATAAAATACACACTAGCTTATATTTCGGTATTTCGTTATATACCCATCCCAATCCCGTAATGCCTAATACCAAATAAAAATTGAAATTGAACCCTAATCCCAATAAATAATACGTGTATTCAGTAATACCAAATACAGACAAATTCGGTACGATATTCGGTATATCCCAAATACCGATACCGCGTGCCTCCACCCTTATAGGCGGTGGGATGCCTCACACACATATCGCGCATTACTCAAAAATTAACTAATTAATAACTTGAACGAAAAGTGTAAACTAAAAGACCTACGATAGAGATTTTACCCCCTTTACACTCATTTCATATCCGTCAAAACCGACTCTGATTCTTCTCTAAAATTTCCATAGTTACTCACAAATTAATCTCCTCGTTCCCACGATTCCATAGGCACTGACGGTTCCTCGTTTGGACGTCGAACGAACAAGTTATGGACAAATATAGGAATTATGTCAGTTTTCCAAAGTACTAGTA